CTTTCTGAATACAACTTTGCAATACAATTAATTTCCACAGTCACGCTATAACAAACACTCTAATTCACAACACACGTCTCACGTGATCGACTCAACTGTCAATTACACCTTACATTGTTGCCGTCAGTTCTTGGCGCTTATATACAAGACTACCGCACATCTATTAGCATCTCGGGCCTTCAGGAAGGAACGTGAACGTTCGAGAAGCGCATGACGTTTTACTAGCATCACGTGACCTCCGCTGTCGTAACAATGCATATAAACTTACGCACTCGAGTTCGCTATTTCTTGCGAAGAAATTAAGGCCTGAAACAGTTGAAAGCTGATATTTATTCAAAATCAAATTTGAAGCAGTTTTAAAAATATTAAAGGAAATGTCATTGCAATGGGGCTGTACATAAACGAGTGTGATAAAGGAAACTAGTTAGATAGTATGTGCCAAATCTTATCCACCGTACAGGTTCTTTCCCATCACTGGCATCAGTTAATTTTTTTTTTTTTTTTTGCTAACTTAACCGTTAAAACTTTTAACGAAACATTAGATTTAAATTTGTTTTATTTGTTATTGCTAAGCCTAAAATAGTAAATACAGTATCACACTTGGGGTTGTGTTACGTTACTCTGTTACTGTTGTGTTTGTAGTACGAAGTATCGTTGCTGTTAATAATAATAATATTTAACTACTGGTGTTAGTTTCTTGTGTAGAAACACCTTACTTTTCGTTTTCTTACTCTCAGGTCATTATTTCTTTATTTGTTCATGTTTAATGCTTTTATAAAGTACTAGTATTAACTTGCAGAATTAGCTGCCACTGCCAAAACATGAGGCATTCGTGTGTGTTTCACTTTAGCAAATCAAAGAAAATTATATTTGCTTTTGTATACAATATTGATTTTATTTTTTAATACTTGACCATTCATTGTAAATACTAAAATGTGAATAATTTTTAATCTCATGTCTATAACATCTGTTACTGATTCAAAATGTATCTTCTCTTAGCTTAGAATAGTAAGGATATAGCTTAAACTTTAGAGATTAAAATCATGAATGATTAACAGCTGTATTTTCTATGTACACCAAAAAGATACATTAAGATTGTACATTATTTTGTTATATATATATATACATATGTGTCTGCAGGTTTGATTTCGCTTATTTGTGTTTGCATTTTGTATAATGATTCCTGCTTTAACTTTAAGATAATACTGAAAATATAGGAAGATTGAATCACATGTAAACAGAATGCATGCTACATCGTATTCAGGCTGTCATCAATGAGGCTGACATGCTATAAACATTTCTGTTAATTTGGTCAGGCACATATTTATGGCCTGAAAGAGCTTTTATCAATTCTTATTGATTTTTTATTTTTATAACATTTTCAAGTTTTAAATAGAATGAATAAAGAGTTTAATTTTACTTATGAGTACATTTTGTTATTTTTATATTTTTGAAGTGTAAAGGAATCAGAAAATTGTGGCTCTTTTGTAATAGACATGCACAAGTATTTGGATTTAAGTAGTTTGAAATGATTTTTTACAATTTAAACTGATTTTTTTTCTTACATTTAACAAAATATAACCACAATAAACATAGTTGTAATACAGCTTCTAAGTTGATAAAAATAAGACTTAAATGATCATTAAGTTTAATAGAGTTATAAATGTTCTTTAAATATATGCAGTCCAAATAATAGGAAGTGTCTTATGTAATTTCTGGATCATGTAGGAATATTACTGTATATCTTAATGATGTAATTATCTCAAGCAACACTGCACTCTCACTCTTTGATTCCATAGTAATCATCTCCAACAGTTAAAGTTCTATTTTATTTTCACTAAGTATAAACCCCACTTCTGACTTCAGTTGTTGTAACTGTGTTCTTTTGTTGGGAGGTTCTTTTGAATTATCTGGTTAAAATAATTCAACATGCAGTCCATGTAATGATAATAAACCATTTTATTGTTGTAACTGTGTTCTTTTGTTGGCAGGTTCTTTTGAATTATCTGGTTAAAATAATTCAACATGCAGTCCATGTAATGATAATAAACCATTTTATTTCTTCCTTAATGTTTCTACATACTTAAACACTGATAACTTTTATGCCTTTTTACAAATGATACGAACTGCACCATACTGACTAACATAAAAACAGGCTTACTTGTACAAAGTAACTTAATAAATGTAATAGCTAGCACAAATCCAGATACTTCACACACACAATGGGTAACTTATGCTACTGGCTAGAAAACAACTTTCTATCTTGAAACATATCTACAGTCTTTACCGCTGTTTATAATCTACTTTTTAATGAACAAGAAAAACTTATTGTTAAATTTATAATTTTTTACTCCTTCAAACTTACTTGATCTTAATATCATTCTTGTTAGGTAACAAACAAATTACAACATTAAAAGAATAGCTTACAAAACTATAATACATGAATATTACTAAATAAATAATGGTGTAGTTTAGGGGCATTAGTTTATCACATAGTAAGGTTACCATACCTCATTTATTTTTCACATTGATTTGAAAGAAGCATGTATTCTCAGTTATCTTGCACTCTACATGGTAGTTTTCTTTTGTTATACTTGTGTTTTGTATAATATGATACAATAAGTAATTAAAATACTTTATAGGTCTACAAAATGCCATTAGGTCTGTGCATAAATTAATTATCTGTTATGGCTCAAATATTAGATAACTATTCATACACCTTTGTCATGACAATTTCTAAGCATGTACATATCTTAAGGTATACTTTTTAGTAAAGTGAATTTTATTCAAATGTCTATTAAAAAAACAGTAAATAGAGTTGTTGTTCTTTGAAAACGTAAGGCATATATTTATTAATTGAACACTCATTTTAGAGTTGTTCTGCATTAGTATATATATATATATATAAAGCTGTAGCAATTTATGAAGTGAATAATTAATCACACTACATTATTTTTTAAAACTGTCAATAAGTGATAATTTGGAATAACTTAGATATATTTTGCATTTCTTTACATAGTGTTCATAACTTTTTTTCATATATGTTTTTTTTTTCTTTGTGAAAAAAACACTTTTAATCCAAATATGTTTCCAAATAAATCTTATAAATAATTTTCCTGCATTTACATGCAAGCCATAAATATTTACACCAAGTTTCATCATTTGAGCTAGTTTAATATCTATTAATCCATTAAAATTTTATCTTGAAATTGGCATTCATAAATGAGGATTTGGAGTCTGGTATTACCTTCTGTTGTATTTTTTGTAAAATCTTCATTTACATATCTTAAACTGAAGTTAATTTTATCTTGTCAGGAGGTAACTCCTTAATATCTAACTGTACTGCTTTTTATATGATTTGCCAATTTGTATACATATATTAAGAATCATCCATTACGTTTTCAGTATCAACAAAAGTCTCTCTCTCAGCGAAATGTATGTAGTTGATGCTTCTGTATTTAGTAACAGTGACAAGAAATGTTCTGTTCATGAAGATACTTTGAAACAGGCAGAAATGTGCATAAAAGAGGAAGTAAAAGTGGAAGATAAGTCTGAAACAGAGGGTAAGATGTCATATGGTTGATGACACATGTACTAGGTTTCTTGCTAATGCATTTCATATGTTAATTGAAATATTATGTACATAACGTATAGAGAAAAACTAAATCACTATGATGTCTATTTCTATGTTAGGTTATATAAATAAATGAAAAGTTCCCAAAATTGTTTCAAGGTAGCATTGTCTGTAAGAATGTCCTCAGTGTGACTGCTTTGCATAAAATGTAATATTTGGCATAGTTTAATAATTAAGAATTTTATAAAGTACTCCAATGTATAGAAAATGCAAAAATCACAGTGATGTACATAGAGTGAATCCTCGTTAATGCAAACAAACTTGTAACGCACTAATTTGTCTAGAGTATCGAGACATCTGAATAGTTATATGGGTCATTTTGAATGTAATGGATACTATGCATTATCAATTTATAAATGTAAGTGTTCAAACTAGTAAGGTTGGGCATCCAACTGGTAAACAAAAATCAACTGTATGTGCAATAAAATTATCAGGTTAATTATTGTATATGTTATTAATAATTACAAAAATTGTGTAATCAAAGTGTCATTTCACTATCTTCACATGAAACATAATTTTTTTAAACCATGGCTTACAGAATACAAAATACATAGTATTAGTTAAATGTACAATAAATCACTGCTTTTGAAAAAAAAAAACTTCTTTCTCAAGCTTCTCAGTTGCTTTAAGCAAATACATTATATCATAATCTTTACACAAATCACTGTTTTGTTTGAAACATGTGATGGCATCTTTAGGGCTAGCTCATGGTTTATTCACCACACTCTTGAAGAGACAATGGAAATATCTTTCTTTGACAACTCTTGACCAGTTTGTTCAGTTGAGTCCCTGTTGAGCTTTGGATCATTTGACTTAGAATCATTATGACTCAAGATTAAGGTATGGCTTCTGTAAGCAATCTCGTTAACATCCTTTCACATCTCTACAGACTGAATAGTTTTAAACAGGCTGTGGCAAAATGCTGACATGCTTGAAGCAGTTTTTGATAGTATCTATAGTAATAACAGACCAGGTGAAACATACCACTTATAAACCCTCACAGACAGTTAAGGTTTGTAGATTGTTATTTTTACTGTATTCTGTGTAGTATCTAATCAGCTGATGGCAGTAGTAGCTTTGAGTGACTTTATTGTGCCAACATTTAGAAGTTGTATGATTAACATGGTATTTGGTGGCAACTGTTACAGTGTTACTTTAGACTTGGATGACATCAGCATTGTTCTCAAAGTGACTGAAGGATTTGAGCCAAAGGATGAATTCAAAGAAGAGAAAAACATTATTTTTTTGGACAATGCTGCTTTTCATACTGCACCAGATTTCACCTGTATATTGTATGGATAGCAAGGTTGAAATCACTTCCAAAGCACCTTGATCAATTAGATTTTGCAATCACAAATGGCTATAACTTTTCTCTACCATATGCATTGGCACACAAAGCAGCTGTTCTGTTATCTTTACATTTTTGTGTATGTTTAATTCTCCGGCTTGCCAAAAAATGACTGAAGACTGAGTCCCAACCTGTAGAGTAAATCAGTCTCATCTAGATTGTATAAGTTTACCAATTAAAATTCTGCTGGAACATTTCCTAGATCTTTTTCCTGCATCAATTGCATTTTGATTGCCACTTCATCCTCCAGCTTTGTCTCCTTTATTCCAAAATGTCTTTTGAAACATTTCAGCCATCTTCTGAAGTATCTGAACTCTGTTAAACCATGCTGTTTTCCTAGTTGATTAGCTTTCTCAATAAGCTTTTCACCGTTAACATTTTTTTTTATGTAAAATCACACAATCAAAGATACAGGTCTTGGTCCACATTTGCATCCATTGAATTTCTTGCTCTTGTTTGTTGACCTGAATAACCTGAAGTTCTTATTCACTTTTCTTTGTTGCAAAGAATGTTAGGTATGTTTGAATTGCCCATGAGAACATTTCATTCTACACTGAAGTGACTACTGATGGCATCAGTCCTTGCACTGGAATTTGCTTTCTGGTGTAAACAAACATCATGTTTTAACGATGCTGATATTTCTGTGCATCTTCATTTCACAGCACTGTGACTTGACATGACTGTAGCATAAATCACTCTGATGGCCTTTTGATATCTGATCTAGTTTATATGTACATCCCTACTGTAAAGGCCATTCTTGGAAAAACTGTCATAAAATGGTACTAAATTTAAATTAAGGTTGTTCTCAGAAAAATTTTGACCAATACCCATTAGCTAGTGCAGGTGTTTATAGTCAGTAATTATCAACTTGTTTCCTTTTCTGATAGAGTCTTACTTGACTCTCGTAGAGTCATGTACAGATTATCAAGTCATATATCTATAGGAAATGCATATTTGTTGTAAGAAATGGCTGTTCTCTTTCACATAATCAGTTTTGTACGTATTCTTGGAGATCTTTAGACAGGTTGGGGCAGTGCCAATGACATCGTTGACTACTCATCTCCACCAGGCCCTGTGGGAAGATGGTTACATCTCTTTCACCGCATTTGGCATTCATTCAATATGGGTTCTTAGAGTGCTGGATTCAGGGTTTGAAATTCAGTTTACTTTTCCCCCCTCCTTTGTCCTCCCATCTGGTTGTCTATTCTCCTCCTTCAGACCTCGGATGTGTAGACTTTTATTCCCAGGTCATTCAGGAGTTGTTCAACAAACGAGCCATTGAGAAGGTCGATCCTATTCATCCAGGATTCTATTCTCGTCTATTTCTTGTCCCCAAGAAAACCCACTCAACACCTGGTCCATCTCGGGGTGTTTTTCAATACACATTTGAGTCGGGCTCAACCATCTCCCTTCAGATTTCAGAATATAGAAGGAATTGTCAAGTGTTTGCTTACATCACCTTCTCCCACTGAGTGGATGGTTCTGTCTGTTTTGGGGATTTGAGCTTCTCTAGAATCCCCCCGTGCCATTGGGTCGGGCCTATATGAGATCCCTTCAGTGGTCATTTCTGACCAGTGGCTCATTCATATTGATCCTTTTGATCAAACATTCTCTTTGGTCAAGAACAGTTTTGCATATCTCAAGTGGGGGCTAGACAGAGGTCCTAATACCATCTCCTTGTCCAGAAATATATCTATTCACGGATAGGGTGCTTTTCTTCAGGGACAGGAATTCTAGAGTATTTGGATAGACTACGAATCTACCCTGCATATCAACATTCTCGAACTTTTTGTGGTACATCAAGCCATGATTCAAGGTTTTCCTCTCTTGCACAGCAAAATTGTCATGATCCATTTAAAAACTCCACAGTGGTATGATGTCTTTCTCATCAGGGAGGCACTCATTCTCGAAATCCTTGTTTTCAAACTTTGGATCTTCGTTATTGGGCTCATTCCCATAACATCCATCTTTTGGCCTGTCATGTACCAGGGGTTATGATTTTGATAGCAGATCATCTTTCTCGACCCCATGAGATTCTTCCAACAGATGGTTGTTACATCAGGAGATTTTCCATGGATTTTTCTCAGTTCGGGTCTCCAAGGATCGATGCTTTTGCAACCCATTGGAATGCTCGCCTACAGCTATTCTGCTCTCCAGTTCTTCATCCACGAACTCTGGCGATAGATGCTTTCAGTCAAGACTGGACGCGATTACATTTGTATGCCTTTCCTCGTATTTGGCTCTTATCCATAATCTTGTCTATGATTCATTCCACCCTATGTCGGGTTCACTTGATAGCACCTTTTTGGCCTGCTTAGACATGGTTTCCTCTTCTTTGGTTGCTCCAGGAATGTCCACCACTATCTCTACCTTTTCGTCCATTCTTGTTGAGACAACCTCAGTCCAACATTCAACACTCGGACATCCAACGACTCAAGCTTCATGTATGGAAATTATGTGGTCCTTTGCCCGACATAAGGATTTAACTTCTAAAGTTTCCATGTATTTGACTAAATCTCTCCTTTGACTTACTTTGGCAATCTATCAACAGAAATGGACTACCTATTGTCAGTGGTGTCTTTGGAGAGCCTTCAACCCATTTCATCCATAGTCTCATGTTTTTTTTATGTAGATTTTTGAGATAGGTTTGGCTTCTTCTACCATTGCTTTATATAAAGCATCCTTAGCTGCTATCTTTCTTATCTCATTACCTTCATGATCTGGTAGTTTCCTCTTCCATGGGATTTTGCCTTTCCCCTGTAACTGTGTTGACTACCTTTGCTAGATTTTAACAAGGAGGTGAGTAACTTTCTTACCTGATTTATGTTTTTTCTTTTTTTCTTCTAGAGTTCCTCTTTATTTCTTTTGGATCCCACTTAGTGGCGAGTGTTGCTCAGTGAGGTGTACTTGTATTTTTTCAAATCCACACTAGCAACCTTTTATATCAGTTCATGGTTACAATGGGCTCTGTCAAGATGAGGTGTTCCATAAGACCATTTAGGTGCAATTCTGGATGGAGTATTATTTCACACTACAACTCCAATGGACCACTCCTCATGGACTATCATGAGTAAAGCTAAAGGGGCTTGAGCTGCATCAGTTGAGATCGTTTGCTTTTAAAACTTAGGAAACGTGGTTCACCTGTTGCACTGTCTCTGGAGACCTGTTCCTCGGCACTCCCCACTTCTCACGTTGCCCCCCCCCCAAATTCTACTAGTGGAGCTACAGAGTCCTTACCACACCCAGTTCTCAGCCGCTGGGGTGGTGAACAGAGGATTTTCCTTCGGAGTGTTGAGTTTTCTTCACTCTTGGAGAAGAGGGCAAAATTGAGGACCCTCCTACCTGGGTCCCTGGAAGTTTTTCCCAGATGTTGGAGCAGGACCAACCTATGTGGGAGCCTACTCATAAAACCAGTCCAGATTTGATGCTTAGCTACCTGGTGGGGGTGTGCTTGGACCCTCTTATGAACACTGTCAAGTCTTAGGTTGTTCATACAGGGAGTCCACAGTTGAATGTGGGATGATTGTTGACTATTGAAAATGGATCTATTGCATTTATTTACATGTCTATATTTATAGTGG